AACCCGACACTGTGGACAAACACGAACAAGTCAGAGGCTTGTTGCAATACAATTCACAATGTATTTATTTTTAAATTATGGATATTTGTCTTACTTATGATGTTTTCAGACACTCCAACGCTCCCTCCTTAATTCCTGTACTCCTATATTAATAGCTGGTCACAAAATTAAAGTAAGTAAAGATAAGAAATTGAGTTTTTGACATGCATAAGTACAATTGAAAGTATATGCGCCTGTATTGCTGTGTGCACAGTCTTAACAATGGTCCAGTGTCTCATAGGCTTAAATAAGCCAGCTTTAAATAGTCGTTTGGCTAATCACAATAATGATATTTAATGCGTTGCCTTGATACAATAAGAAACGTACCTGATTTGAGCCTTCAGTTGTGTCTCAGTATTGAAGTGAAGGAGGTTGTTTTGACAGTGTTTTCAGTTCTGCAGGCACCAGAGACGGCGTTAAACACAACCTGCACCATGCACCATGCTCCTTTGCTCCTTGATTGACAGGCACAGATGACAGTTGTTGAAAAAAGGAAAATGACATTTACAGAGACTGTTTATACTTACCACTGGTAAGTTACCAGGCTATGGGTGGACAAGTTTAAAGAGCATTAAACAGCATTAGCCTATTATACAAATTAATTGCATTTAGTTAGATGCCTAATGGTATAAGGTACTAACATTTACCTGTTTCCATTGCGCTATACTATACTCAATTGGATTTCAAAGGGTAATTTTGTATTTTCATATTTGGAGAGTTAGAGTTACCAATATATAAAAGACGATATTACTTTATTAACAAAAATGATGAGCTATTAATGCATTTTTGAATCGTTAAACCCAATAGTGTGTGGAATAGCTCAAATTAGCTCCACTCCAATAAGCTCCACAATACTTAAATACTGCATATGGATAAATAGGTTATCCAAATCAACCTCACTAAACACAACAGTTTAATAACAGTTTTGTTACCTATAAAATACAAATATTTTTACAATTTTGCATGAGTCCTACAGTTAGGTAAAGGAGTCAGGCAGATTATACAAAAAAAGTATACATTATTATTTAGGCCTACTAGAGATTTCCTTTTACAAGTTTTTGTTTAATAGTTATGTATATTTAAGACTCAAATAGAATGACTTGTTTCACATGTACTATATGTAAAGTATACCATAAGATCAATAGGTGTACCTGGACATTTAAGATTAAATGCACACAATTTTATCAGAAAAAAACCCCAATGTTGACATAATGATTAGTTTTACACAATGTATGTTAAACTAATAAATGTGCTTAGTTTTACGAGTTATCAACGCTTTTAATTTCCCTGCTGTCGGACAAATAAAGGATTTCTTATCATTGTAAAATTAATAAATGAGCCTAATTCATGTGTGCGTCTCATCCACGCTTCTAATTTCCCACAAACAAAGGATTTCTCATTCTGATGCTTTCTTAAGATAAATGTGCTTGTTTATTTATTAGTGAAGTGATTCATTATGCGTCATATTTTCACAGCAGCACGTCATTCAGCAGGACCCTCCCCTCTGAAATACTGCAGCCGGCTCTGAGCGCAGCATTAGGGTAGAGGAGAGACAGAGAGCCGCTGGTGTGGACGCTGGCCTTATGGTTAAATCTAACCTACAGACGATTTTGAATAGTCATTGTTTTGTTAGAGAAAAAGAGAGAAACTTAACCGAAATGCCTGTTATTGAACAATCCAGTAATAAACCTGAAAGTGGAAGGTATGTTGTTGTAGTCGTTGTGAATTGTTGTCATAAGCTAGCAAGCTAGGATACATTTAAAAGCCGCGGCCTAGCTAAGGGAGCCGTATATTTCCTGGAGTGCTAGTACTATTACCTGGGTTTCTTGTTTACATAACAGCACTATTTATTCAGGTTTCCAAATTACATCGTCAACCGCGTTTGGTTTAATGCCTTTTTATAAAAATGTCTTTAAAAAGTCCACTCTTCATTCCTGTCATTTATCCCGAATGTTTGACATTCAAGTAACATTGGTATTTATCTAGCAAATAGACAAAAATATAATCATCACTGCTGTTGATATCGATGCCCTAGCTTGCTAGCTAATGTGAAATGCCATTGAAATGCGTTACCTAAAATATGAGATGCTAAGCTAGCTAACATTTAATGTTGCCGTCTTATACATTCAAGACATTTTATCAATGTTAAATATTTAAAAATCTTATGTGTAAAAAGTTTTAATAACTGTATTGTGTCGGTACTGTAGTGTTTGTTTATCTTTGATCTGAATGTTAACGGTTTTAATTGCTAGCGGTGTTAGCATACGGCTAGCGCGAACGTTAGCAGTTACATCAGAGGGCTGTTTTCATACCTCAGCCGTTGCAGTAACACAAACAACCATACAATATTTCACAATTGAATTAAAAGCATACAAATAATAAAGGCACACTACAAATGTGTATATAATATTATGTACATGGAGCTTGTTCGTAGTTAAATTATGGCTGAATTGGTTATTTGTGGTTTCATGGTTTGTTTTTTCCCATTTTGCTCTCGGGATCAGGTGCTTGCAAGCGTTGCAATTTTGCATCGACGAAATGTTAAAATGAAGCAATTTGTTTCCAATAGTGCAGATAGTTAATTAACATATAAAATAACCTTTGCTATGTGCTATCTTAACGTGGTATTATATTAACCATTGTGTGAGCCTCTGCCAGCCATTGGACTCCAGCCGGAGACTGCTTATTTGTTGGGGAATTTCCAATTTAAATGTATTCATTGACTGGAAATAAGATTATAGAGTGGGGTTGACCCTACTGAAAATATGCAGCATAATTTTACACAACCTGTGAATTATTACCTTTGTGGTGTTTTAATCTATTTCGTGTCCTAACATGATTTTTTGTCGAGGCTGTTTGTGTGGTGAAGGACTCGTAGGAAATTTCCACTGCACTGCGAGGGGGGGTGGTATGGGTAATTTTGAGTCCAGCGATGACTGTTTACCCAGGAGATTTTTTGCAATAACAGCATATATGTTTTCATACATTGTGTAAAATATGTTGCGATCATTTGACACAGTTTTCTCTTTTTATCCATAGTTTAAAGAGCATCTGAAGCAATGATACTTGCATTATGATATCCCCCCCTAGAGATAAGTGTTTTTTGTATGGTATTCATACATGACAAAGGTGCTCTTATGCAGCAGCAGAAGCTTGAGAGAATCATCACTCATGTGACCAGAGCAGCTGTCTTAGCCAATACAACATGGGTGTGCACTTGGTTAGCCTGAGTTATGTGAGTGACAATGTTTTTCACACACTGCTCCACATATAGCATAGAGGTGACATTTGCGTAGGAGAGCATCAGTGAGTTTGTGTGAGAGCATTTGCATCGCTGTGGTAACGCTGCTAATGGGATAGGTTCCCGATATGAACCCTGAGAATAGACCTACCCACAATGCTGTAAATGAATGCAACCGTACAAACAGACATCTGCGCCGGTAAGCCAAGCTAATTCTACAGAGCTCATTGGCTGGCCTCTAAATTAATATAGCTCAGCTCACCTGCTAAACGGTTGTTTGTCTGTGGTAGCCTGGGGGGGACATTGTTAGTGCAGCAGTACTGAAGTAGGCAGATTTTTAGACAAATAAGAGCCTGATCCTCTGGCGGCCTTCCTCTAGAAATCATGTGACAAGCTTAAAGTTACCCCACACAAATCTGGTTTTGGAAGTAAAGACGTCAAGCTTCTTACGTGAACAACTAGCCTATTTTTCCAAAGGTTACAGGGATTAGGATTGGGACTTTGTGAAATGGAAACAAAAATGTCTTGTAGTGAATATTTTGCCTCTTGTTGACATTCACATGGGACATCTCAAATGTGGAAGTGTTACTCAAACTATTTCAGCGTCCTGTCTGTCTGCTGGCGATGAGGACAGTTACTGATTGAACTGTTCCCATCTGCCTTATGTTTAGTTTCTTAGGACTCACTGAACTTTAGCCACTGTTTAACCGTAGTTTTGAAGATGAGTAACTCAACAGTTTAATGTCTAACCCCTGTTGTTTATATCGGGAGTCGGGTAGCAGAACCTCCAGTGAATGCTCCATTTAATAATGGCTCCTTCTGTGTGTGCGTTTGTTTCGCACTCCAGTATCTCCAATCCCAGGAGGTGCTCCCGCTGTTGCAGTAACCCGTGTCCGGGGCCTCTGTGGTGCTCCTGATGCCCCTCTCCCACCCCTGAAGATCCCAGGTGGGCGAGGGAATGACCAGAGGGATCGCAATCTTTCAGCTAAGCTATTCTATTCTGTGAGTTAAAAAGCACTTTTTTAATATTTTTAGAAATACAGAGAGCAACCTCTTTGAACTATCAACGCAGATAAGTTAATAATACAACTAGGAGAAAGACAAACAACTTATTTGCAGTTCTGCTCTTTTCAATCTTCATCTTCAACCCAGCTAATAATGTAATTGTTTTGCTAGGCTTTTATACTGCTGCAGTAAATCAGCAGGTCTTATTGTTACTGCTGTGTTCACATCAAACTCAAGTACATTTTTGCCATTTGTTACTTACGTTACGGAAATTCACCATGGGTCTATTTGTTTAGTGGGGGGCTGCGGTGCTAGTGTGTTTGTGTTCGGATCAGGCAGACCCGGCGCCAGAACAAATCTACGGGAGGGCATTGATTTTCATGGGAGGGCACACAAAACCGCCATGTGCCGCGGCCAGTATCGGTCAAATAATAAAACTATTGCTCTTTTGGGTAAGCTTTGTTATAGGTGATGGTGTAAGCACTTTGGAGCAAAAATGAAGAGATCTATGGATACATCTCTCAACACCCCATATGAAACAAGAACTTAAAAGCCAGATTTTTCTTTTTCTTTATGGATATTTTACAATCACTCCCCTTTTAAATGTATTCTTGTTTTACCTGTCTATATATTTCATAACCCTGTTGCATGTATCTCTTATATTACTTCTCTCGACATCACATAATCGTAAGCCTTAAAGTTTCACAGCTTATTCTATAATAAAAAAAAAATATATAATATTTAAACATTTATAAAAAAA